CGGGTCGGCCCGGGTTCGGATGAGTGGGGGGTGTTTGGTGTGCTGGGGTTGTTGACCCGGGCCCAACCCCGGCCCTGCCACACCCCCGAACTGATTCCCTGGTCTCTTCTCCTGTTGCTGGTATATTTCTGTGAAGCGCACGTGCAAAATTTTTGCATGCATGCAAAATGCCCTCTCTCAGCAAATCAGTAGTAAACTGGTCAGGAACCCACCACTCATGTACATACATATGCACACATGCACGCGCACACACATATGGCTGAGGTGGGAGTTGTTCAAGTGATGACTACAAGCATTGCTAGTTCTACGATGGACTGAAAAAGATTAGCTTTTTTAATTCCCTGTATTGGAAACCAGTACTAAAGAGGTTTGTGGCGACTGTCGTCTGTCTGTCTGTCTGTCTGCTGTCTGTCTGTCTATATCTGATTTTGGTCTTTGACTAAAAATAAATAGCTTAAATATTTTGATTTTTCATTTAAAAAAAACGTTATTTGAATGTGCATCCAGGTGTATGAATTAAGCTTACAGATTTAGATAATAAACTCTGATGAAATCATAGTATTTTCATCTCAATGATGCAAATGCTATAATGATTTAAACAAGTACTTATATTAGTAGCAACAACTCGTCTGTTCATTATGCCTGCAGGGGGAATAGGGATTGAGTCAAAATTCCATGGAACTACTTAAATATGTATGGATTTATGGTTTTTTCTATATTTTTTCCCTTTTCCAATACATTCACCTGAGTTTGTACTTTGTAGACTATATTAAAGCATGTTTTCTCCAAAACAGAAATTGATTGTATTATCAATCAATAGGAATTATCAATCAAAGGAATAATTGTATTATTCCACATGATAATGTTGAAAATAATTAATTTGAATGCCAAAGGATGAATAACTTGGCAAAATCTGATAAACTTTAAACACTTCATGATACAACTTTTCTCTTCCTCTGCCTCCACTATAACAAACTATATATTACTTGCTAACTATCTCAAGACTAAGAAATCAGAACATGCTTGAAATTAGATGTATTTGCCTCTAAAATATCAAGTCAATCCATGAGCCTATAAAAACCCCACAATCATTAAGTCAGACAGAAATAATGTCAATGACTGTTTTGCATATAACTAAAATGCATTTTCTTAAGAAGAATATGCCACATGTCATCTTTAATGTGGATTAACATATGACATATTTTTATTGAGGGTTTTTCCAAGAAATTCAATACAGTGCATATAACATGTCGTACTTCCTCTGCTCTCAATTTTTCCTTCACAACAGATTAGGCAGAGATCATCACTCATCATAGCTGAGCAGGGATTTGACCTCGATGTCCTCAGTCTTAATCTTCTAAGAACATACTCTCCATCATTTTTGGAAGATTTTCCCACAGTTCTCCAAACATCTAAGACAACATCTTTCACATTTTTGGAGTAATTCCCAGATTTCTGAGTTCAGGCTGAGAACAGCTGATATAACTGGGAAGTAACCAAAGACAGGACTTTTTTAGTGCTGGCTCCAAGGTTACTGCTTTAAAAAAAAAATCCAATATTTCAGAATTTTAGTTTCCTTTTTGCCTTATACAGAAATATAAAAATATTTTTAAAAGACAGAAAAGGGAGCAAATAACATATATGTATATTGTAAACATTCTCTTTTTAAACAAAATATTAAACTTTGATCCCACAGAAAAAATAGTGATCAATCTTTCCATGACTTATACTGTAAATCCAAGACTGTAAATATAGTGCATAGTGCACTGTAGTACAGGTAGTCCTTGACTTACAATCACAACTGAGCCTAAAATTTCTGTTAAGTGAAACATTTATTGAGTTTTGCCCCATTTTACAACCCCATTTGTCAAAGTTGTTAAGTGAATCATTGCAATTGATAAGTTAGTAACTCAGTTGTTAAGTGAATCTGACTTTTCCATTGACTTTGCTTGTGAGGAGGTTGCAAAAGGTTCACATGTCATAAATGACTATTTATGACAGCAAGGGTCGTAAATATGAACCAGCTGCCAAGCAACTGAATTTTAATCACACAATCATGGAGATCACATGATCATGAGGATGCTGCTGCAAAGATCGTAACTGTGAAAAATGGCCATAACCAATAAAGGAAAATCTTTGTTGCTCAAGGTTGAAATGTGCGGATCTTGATATTTTCTTTATTTTATTTATTTATTTGTCAAGCATGTATAAATATAAACATGATTATGGATACATGACATGGGTACAAATAAATGGGGACTTTAGGACAGGGATGACTGGTGTGTTTATGCACGCCCCTTACAGATCTCTTAGGAATGGGGTGAGGTCAACAGTAGGCAGTCTTTGGCTAAATTTGTGGGGGTTAGGGGAAGAAACCAGAGTCAGGTAGTGCATTCCAGGCATTGACCACTCTGTTGTTGAAGTCCTTATTTTCTGCAATCAAGTTTGGAGTGGCTTACTTTGAGTTTGTATCTATTATGTGCTTGTGTATTGTTGTGGTTGAAGCTGAAGTAGTCATTGACAGGTAAGACATTGTAGTAGATAATTTTATGTACTACGCTTAGGTCAGACTGAAGGCGGCGTAGTTCTAAGTTGTCTAAGCCCAAAATTTCAAGTCTAGTGGCATAAAGTATTCTGTTGTGAACAGAGGAGTGAAGGACTCTTCTCGTGAAATATCTCTGGACTCTCCCAATTGTATTAATGTCTGATATGCAGCGCGGGTTCCAGACAGATGAGCTGTATTCGAAAATTGGTCCAGCAAAGATTTTGTATGCTCTAGTTAGTAGTACAATATTACCAGGGAAGAAGCTATGCAAGATCAGGTTAACATTAACGCTGATGAGATTACCTAGTTTGGGTAATGAAAAGCCTGTAAGCAAACAAGCAAGCTCAGAGACCACCAAGGTCCCTTCAAATGGTCACCACCAGTCACATTTTTCAATGCCGTAGTAACTTTGACAGGTCACTAGACGAACTTTTTAAAGTCGAAGACTACCTGCCCTCTGGTAAGTGACGCCGAACATACCCTCTCCCCCCCCTCCTCTTCCCCCAACTCCCCCCCCCTCTCGGGCCTCTTAGCTCGGCGCGCTCGCTCACGCACGCGCTGTCCTTAGCGGCAGCGGCGACTCCATGCCGCGCCTTCGCCTTCTTCGCGCTCTTTCGCACCGCCGCCGCGCGTGCTCGGACGCTCCTCTCCGTCTCATCCCCGCGAAACGCTTCCTCGGTGACGTGTAGGGGCGCGCGGTGGCAGCACCTCCCCGCGCGCTGCTTAAAAAGAAGAAGAAAAGAGGGAGCGAAACATGAGAGCCCTAGTGAGCTCCAGCTCCCGCCGGCAGCAGCAGAGGAGGCATCACGCCCGGCAGCCTGTCCCATTTAGAACGGCAGCAGCTTCGTGTGTATGGAACACCGCAAAGGGACTTGCGGCTTCCATCTCGACCGTCACCTCCTTCGCTTCGCCCGCCAGCGCTGAGAACCTTCCGCCCAGGGAAGTTTACGCTCGGCGCTTGGGCATCTCGGTTAAACCTGCGGCCGCTCTTGTCAAGTGGCGCAAACGTCCCGTGTCCGAAACTCAGCATCTTCTTCCCTTGGCTCAGTTGGGGCGTGCGCCTGTCTGTCTGGTTGCCCGCCGGGTTTTGTTCGCTGCCCGTCCCTCAGCTGTCGCGCCTCGCTCGTTCGCCTTGGAAAGCGACCACCACCTCCCGTATAAAAACCACAAACTCCGAGGTTTCCCTAAGGGAAGTAGCCTTGCCTCATTGGATTGCCTTGGGATTGATCACCTCAGCCGGCGCTTGAAGTCTTCCCAAGCGGCATGGTGGGGCTAAAAATGCTTCCATTGAAGCTGCTCTTGGTGGCCCTGGTCCTCTGCTTCTTTGAAGGGGAAACCAAGTTTGGCGAGACCACTGCCAAGAGGAGAAGGTGCTTGAATGGCAGCCTCCCCAGACGCCTGAAAAAGCGAGACAGGAGGCTGATGCTCCTAGAGCCCCCCAACAGAGGGGAGCTGTTGTGCCAGGGATTCTACCCTCGCCTGTCCTGCTGCTCCAGGGGTGAGAGGCAAGGATTGCTCCAGATAGAGAGCAACAAGGTAGGCGCCAGTTGGGTTTGATAAGATTGGGTGAGAGACCCAAGGGGCATGCAAAAGTTTATTGGAAAAGAGTCTTTGGATCTAGGGTTCTAGTGATTTGGGAGAGGAAGGACAATCAGCAAGAGGTGGAACTCACAAACATCACTTACCGGTTCTTGGAGAGGTTTTTCAGGGTAATAAAGAAGGTAATAAATCATCTTTGCTAGGTTTTTGAGTTTTGCTGGCTTTGAAGGCCACTTCATTGGCTGTAGGAAGTTGTGGATTGAGAAGTGTTCCTTGTGGTCCCTCCTTGGATTACAGTGGCACTGTTTCTAAACACCTTTGTCATGCTCACCGAGAATTGTTGGAGCTGTTATCTATTACCTGTGAAAGGCTCTATATTGAGGAAAAGCTGAATAAAGGAAATTTAAAAAGGTGACTGAACAATGGACTTCATTGAACATAGAGAAACAGTATGGGAAAATGCTGTTCCTTCTAGATGCTGAACTTTTGGTATTGATGTAGTCCATGGGGGGGGGGGTTCTTACCAAATGGGGTTAATTTTAAATGTTTCTTTGTGTTGAATCTTACTGCAGCATCCTAAATCTTTGTTCTATCTGGGAAAACTATTTCAAGTGGGTTAGGAGGAGGAGGAGTTATTACTGACCTTCAAAATTAGAAGGAGAATGCATTCTAAATGCTGAAGAATAATTAGGCAACATAATAAATCCTGCATGCAGGAAACAGTCTGTTTCACCTCTGCCATTACTAGCTAGGTGCTCAGGGGATTCAAAACATCCGTGGAAGAAGAGGAGGAAAGCAATATGTTATGAAGAGAGCAAGGTTTATGTATTTATTTTAGAAGACAAATTTTGAGATAAGGAACCAGCAAAGGAAAGGAATAGAAACATCCTTCTGAGAATTTCAGTTATCAAATAGGAAAAATGAGTTCATTGATAAAGTAGAAACCAGTAGAATCTGGATTAAAGCTGGAAAGGAGATGATGCGGATAGAGGAAGCTTCCAAGAAGGTTTAGTGGATTTTCTTGGATTTATTTGACATACCATGATAGTGATGAATTGTAAATTAAGGTGGTGGTGATAGTTTTTTTTACCCCTGAAGTGAAAAAAGTATGCACAGTTTGTCCACATGTTTGGACAGGAAACTTCAAATAGCAGATGGTAACTGGGAAAGCAGATGATGCCAGGATACTGCAAAACTTTTATGATGTCTTCAGGTCTTCCCGCAATTAAGTCAGGCTCCTCTGGAGAGAAGCTGAGATGACAGGATGAGTGAATTCCATGAATTTGTTCACAGCAAATTGGTATAGGATAACATCATATGTGCAGTGGTTGACATTAGTTTCATCAAGAGAGAATGCCTAGTACATTGTCACTTATACTTCAGAACCCTCTATATACATTTCATTGACTTGAGAAAAGAGCATTAATATGTAACTTTTATTGGAAATGTGGTGAGAAATGACAATCTAGCTATTTTGGAATAGGAAAGTTTTCTGCCTGTTGATTGGGCTGCAATTCACTGCCTTTCAGCCATGTGGATGTTATACGTTTCGCAGTCTATTGTTTTGATCAGGAGTGCAACGTGCAAAACTCAAGCTAGGGAGGGAAATGGGATGAATAAATGTCATTGAGAATCACTGCACGTGAAACAAACAATCAGGTGTCTTTCTCATTGCCCTCCCTCTCACCCCCCCCTCCAGCATTTAGTTTAATTAAGAATTCCTCTGTTACAACACTCCAGTTGTCAAGGTCTGAGAGTGGCTTGGAAAACTTGTGCTTCAGTCTTTCTGGCCCAGGCACAATTAAAAAAAATACCCAGGCTGAATCGAATTTTTATGCTCAGTTCACGGTAGATTTCACCCCATTCTCATGTAAACAGCTTCTACGAATCAACATATGTGTCTGGGTGGTATCTCTCACTTTGTTTTGTAACAAAAAGCCATATTGCATCATTTAATTTGCTCAAGTCATGCAAATAGGGAAAAAAATCAATAGGACAAAAAGGGGTCGACTTATCCTCCTCCCCACTAAACTGCTGCCCACACACAGAGTCCTGTTGCTTATGGCAAAAGAATAACAACAACACCATTGTGTATGTTGGTTGGTTCACTAATGGGTGAAACTGGAGAACATCATTCTCCTTCAGTCCCCAGCTCTGTCCAAATGTTCATGCCTTTTGAGGCAGCATTTGTCCTATTGCCTCCGCTCCCAGATGGGTGAGAGCTGCCTTTGCTGCAGGGTTTCAGCGAATCAAACTCTATTCTTACCAGATGCAAGGGAGCTTGGATGGATATTTTCTCCTCATGTTTGGCCAGAGGTAGTGTCAGCAAGCTCCTGTGTGGTAATCATATTAACTGCACACTAACTGCATTCAGATAATTTTCTAAAGGTTTTAACTGAAACCCACAAATGCCCAAGCCAAACTGGGAAGGAAAATGTCCTTAATCTGTCCAGTTAGCATCATCGACAGTTAGCCACTACAGCAGTAGCATAGCATCTGCTATATGAACTCCCTGGAGACTTTGTAATAATAAGTTGTATTTATGTGATGAATTAACAATGAGACTGATTTTAAACAATTTTTGAGTTTCTAGGAGTTATTATTAATTTGTGACAGTTATGAAACTTCATCTCTAATTTGTATTCAGCATTTTTCACATTTGTAACATTTTAACAATGTACTTAACTGGAAGACATAAATGTTATCATAGAGGAGAGAAGAGGAGAGAGAGCATGCACCAAATACTTTCAATTGTATTTTTTTTAAAATGCTTATTTATACAAAAGAAAAAAAGTACCTACTTTACATTTGAGTGATAGTAAGCACACATACAATGCAATCCTGTTCATACATACCTAATTCACTCTGATTGCAATACGTTTTAAGATTAGTTAGGCATGCAAAGGGTTATGCATTTGGAGTTCGATAGAAGTAGCTCCCAGATAAAGTTTTCTAATAGATGCATGTGGAATTTGTTGGGTTTTTTTAAGTCATTTCTTGTGCATTAGACATCCGAGGCATGACTTTTCATTCAAAATGCATCCAATATATTTAAAGATAGCAAACGCTATCTGTAACCTGGAAGGAATCCAAAAACTACATTAACATATCTTGAAGTAACAAAGCATATATGTTTGGTATAGTGGTGAAGGTACTAGGATAGAAAGTGGAAGATGATGAGTTCCAGTGCCCCTTTACCCATGAAAGCCAGCTGAAGGACTTGGGGCCAGTCATTCTCTCTCAGCCCAACCCACTTCATAGGGTTGTTGAGGAAAAAAGAGGAGGAAATGTGTTCAATATGTTTGTCACATTGAGTTATTTGCAAAAATAATAAAGATGAGATACAAACAAATAAACAAGCAAATAAATAAATATTCTAAGGAAGAACTGTTTCAGCAGAGTTAAAGTAAAGCAGCGTGCTCAGCAGTTACTTTAATTACAAAGAACCTCCAAAGTTAAGATTACATTTGTCAGCCCTTTGATAATTTTATGATCAAAATTAATGATTGCTAAGAGAAACATAGCCAGTCTCTTAAGAATCACAAAGCTGAAACAGAGATAAAATGACAATCTTCTCTTGTGTAATTTATCATTGACATTTTATTCTTTGATTTAATTCACTAATCTCATCAGCAAATAATACATTCTAATATTTTGTGTGTGGTTTAAAGGTTTGCTTGCAAACTGTCAAGTATAGTGGTTTTTCTCTATCTTAGATGGTTTCACAACTGAGGTTCTTGTGGAATGAATGAAAAGTAATTGTTTTCAAGTGTGCCCTTTTAAGATCATTTTTTTTGTCTAATTCTTTCTTAAACAAAAGCTATTGTTGAACACATCCAACTAAACAAATAACTCATCTTGGGGTTCCTTTAACAGCTGCCTTGGTACAATGATCTATTGTCCTAAAAATGAAACTGAACTTCTTAATGACATAATCTAGCACTATAGACCTGATAAAGTTTATGTCCAAACTGGCAGATAAACAAGCTTGCAGTTAAAAGAAGTTACCGTAGTTTTAAGTTTCAAATACTGACTAATGTTAAAGCTTGAACTAAAAGATTTGAACTTTTCTCTTCCCCCAATCTCAAACATCACTTATCTACATGAACCCAGGTTTCATATGCAGAAATTATGTCAATCTGTGTTCATTGTGGTTTTTGCTATTAACTTATTGCCAGGCCAAATCTTTCAATAACTGCCATTACTTTATCTGAATTGTCTAAAAGGTAATAAATTAAGAGGTGTAATAAATTAGCCAACACTAGACAGAATAATTAGAATGGATGTTACAAAAGTGTAACTCAATATGATTTTATGGCTTTATATATTACTTTTGAAAACAAAAAACAATTAGCAGATTTTTTTAGCTTCGAGACATGCTTATTATTAAAATAAATTTGAATTTATTGGTGCTTTTGAAGCAATTAATCCATTTATTCATGTCCAGTACATTTTTTTTGCCAGTTAGTAAAGCCAAGAACTGAATGTTATGTACTGCATATGAGCAAACATTTTCCAAAGATCAGGTTGAGTAACTGTCATCTTCATTTCAAAATAGCTCAATTAACAGATCCATTTTTGAGAATAATTGAGAACAGACCTTTGTGGGCAAAATTGCCAGGTTTGGTACCTGATATCCGTTCTGTCATCACCACTGAAGACCTCAATATTACTATTTAAAAATTAGGTTAAGACTAGATATGTTGTCTCCGAAGAATGACTGATCAAACTAATTTGGGCACTGAATGTTCCTGCACATGCTAGACAGAAATGTGTAGCCACTGCAGTTGTTGGTTTATATGGTATTTCAACAGTGTGCATTGCTTCATAAGCTTGACAGCACCAATGGATGAGGCCAAACCAGGTAGGGAGGTTTTCACAGTAAGCTCAGGGAAGTCTTTAATGGCTCTTTGTACCATTTCTTCTATCCTCCCTCTGAACATCTTCCAGCAGAAGGAACTCTTTGGGTATGTGCTTTTCCAACATATGGATGATAT